CCCCCCCCGAGGGGCGCCGCCGCGGGGAGCCGCGCCCCGCCGGCCCGGAGCCAGCCCCGCTCCCAGCGCCTCTCCCTGTTTCGCAGGCGCCGTGACAGAAGTCAAAACGGACATCTACGTGACCAGCTTTGGGCCGGTGTCCGACGTGGAGATGGTAAGGGCCCCACTTGCCGCCCCTGCTCTCCTTTCCTGGGATTCATTACGGTGGCATCCGAGTTGACCGTCATTAAAGCAGATTACGAGGCTTAATCTTCTTGACAATCTGTAGGGCCCAGCAGAGCAGTTTGGCTGGAGCTGCATACAGCTATTTCCCCGGCAGAGTCAGCCAGGGCAGCCTGTGGCCCAGGCCCGAGGCTGGGCACAGAGGGCAATGCCAGCCTCCAGTGAGGGCACGGATGGGGGGTTAAAGGTGCCTCTTTAGCCTCGTTAAGAAGATTGTAAGCATCTGTGGCCCCACACATAGGTTTGCAGGACGTCTGCGTGGTAGGCAACCTAATAGGCAACCTAATGAGCAGCTCCAGGGGAATGGTGCCATTTCTGAAACAGCTGCCCCTTGCCATGCTGTGTGCCCCCAAATTCTGGTAGCTGCGGACTTGAGTGAACTCCGTCAGTTACAGCAGCAGCCCCAGGAAAATGTTAAGCCATTGGAGTGAGGATGTCATTACTGTTCTCATTCTGGAAATTTACTTTGATCACTGTTTTTGCCCTTGTACACTTCCTCCAATACCTGCTCACCTGAGCCTGCAGTGCAGTCTGCAGACAAGAAACTGTAGGCCCCAAGATACGACCAAAAGTTTTTCCACCTCTCTTCATCAGTCAATCTAAGAGAAGGCATAACCTTGCCTTCCTACACATTTGCCTCCAGCCAAGGTTTTAGTTCCATTTCCTAAACAATTTCTGTATGGAACTCCTTTCTCAAAGCTTGTGAGAATATTACAAAGAATTCTTAAGAAAAATAACTTAGATTAATACTAACTTGACACCATAATCCTACTGTGATGTGACTCACATCAGTCCTTTCTTTATGAATATCCAAAGTAAGCTGCGGAAGAGGCAGTGAGCATGTCTTTTTGTTCCTGGCAATTGAACATGGATAGTTTGGTTTTGGACTTGGAAAGGATGCTAAATTAGACGTTTATATTTTCTTAGACCTCAGTCACTTTGAATTAAATTGAAAGGACAATGAGGTTTTTTCCTTACTCATACCAAATTATCTGTTCACTGATTAATTTGTAACTATTCTTTACATAATAAGAACATAGGATGTTTTTTCACAGACTACTTTTTTGTTTTTAGTAACTACTTAATGGTAATAGGATTAAGTGTTTAAGTTGTAAATGAAATGCCTTTGACGTGTGCTAGGTTCTTTCATGGAGTTACTGTATACACAGCAACTTGGGACTGCTGGCTCCCACACATAAGTCTCCCACCTATTTATTTTCCATAGGAATACACAATGGATGTCTTCTTTCGGCAGACATGGACTGATGAGAGGTTGAAGTTTAGTGGGCCCATTGAAATTTTGAGATTGAACAATTTAATGGTCAGTAAAATTTGGACACCAGACACATTTTTTAGAAATGGAAAAAAATCAATTGCTCATAATATGACAACTCCTAACAAACTTTTCAGAATTATGCAGAATGGAACTATTCTTTACACAATGAGGTGAGAGCCTATTCTTCTGCTTTTGGTTGACCTTTATTTTTGATTCTTTCAGCAGTATTCCTGCATACCATTTTTTTCATTGTCATCTACTATAATGTATTCTAGACTAACCATTAATGCTGATTGTCCTATGCGGTTGGTGAACTTCCCTATGGATGGACATGCTTGTCCACTGAAGTTTGGAAGCTGTAAGTTTTTCTGTATCTTTCTGGTTTTTATAGTAATACATTTGGTCTACATGTATGTGAGAAGATCAGAAGCAGGATCCTAGGACACTACTTAATGATGTAGTTGAATTTTTTATTTCATTTTTTATATGAGAATCTTACTTTCTCCTCTGAGACTCAGACCATTCATAAGCACATGCATTTATTCACTGATGGGTGACTGTTGAAGCATATTTCATTGCTTATTATTCTTACACATCTAGTAGTCAAAGTGGGTCCTTCAAAACGGCATAAAATCTGCAGTACATTTATTGTATTACTTCTAGTCTTGCAAAATGAAAATATGTACTTAATCTGTGGTAATCAATGTATGTGTTTTATAGCAAATTAAGAAAGAAAAGCTAGTGCCTATCAGGTCCCACTTCAACCATTCTCTTACTGTTGATTTTTTTGCATTTTGTCATTAATGAGGTTGGAGCAGGATGCGTGTTTCTATGGGTATTTGAGACATAAAAGGGATCATGCTACTTATTTTTTCAATTGCTTATAAATTACATAATTAATAACAGTAGTTTTTCCCTCTTTAAATCAGACGCTTATCCAAAAAGTGAAATAATTTATACATGGAAAAAAGGACCCCTGCATTCAGTAGAAGTTCCACAAGAGTCTTCCAGTCTCCTCCAGTATGACCTCATAGGACAAACTGTATCTAGTGAAACAATTAAATCTAACACAGGTAAGATGTAGCCATGTGGGAACTACTGACATTATAAAACACATCTTGAAAATAAATTACAGGTTTTTTTCCATATAGAATCAAATTAGTTTAATTATCTTTTGCCATTTTAAAAACTAAAATCCTTGGAAATAATCCTACCTGTTGTCTCTTAAAAGATAGCTTTTCAATACTGTCCCTTTAAGCATACAATTTTTCATGCATTTCTTAAGAATACCCCCTGCTTCGCTGCCCCAGTAAAAACAATATGTAAAATGACTATTACTCTCCTCTGTTTCCGTAAGGTCACTACCTTGTTTTAATCAGCTTATTTTTATTATGCACTAGGAGGCCGGTGAGTACTTTCCACAGAACATACTGTGTTGGGTTTAAGCCAATAATGTTTACTTGTATGTTGCCAAAATAATGCTGACATACTTGTCTCTTGACAGGTGAATATGTAATCATGACCGTTTATTTCCACTTGCAAAGGAAGATGGGCTACTTCATGATACAGATATATACTCCATGCATTATGACAGTCATTCTTTCTCAGGTGTCTTTCTGGATTAACAAGGAGTCTGTTCCAGCCAGAACAGTTTTTGGTATGCTGCATTAAGGTCTTTGAACAGCTCAGCATCACATATACCATTCATTCATTACTTTCATTGCTTGTTTGTTTTAGGAGAATATTCACTTCAGCTGCTCTATTTCCATCTTCAAAGGAAAATAGGCTACTATCTCATTCAGACATACATTCCATGCATCATGACTGTTGTCCTGTCTCAAGTTGTGTTTTGGATCAACAAAGAATCTGTTCCAGCAAGAACTGTGGCTGGTATTTGTGTTTTGGTTTTTTTTATCATTCACTTCATTCACTGTATTAAATCCATTGTATCAAAGAGCTACTGTATTCCCATGGGAATTAGAAAAGACAGTTAGTAGGTTTCAGTGAACAAAAGTAAATACTAAAATTAAATCAAATAACATTAAATCTGATCACGAGGTTCAAAATTCTTTACTCAGAATGTTTGGTTAGCCAGACTTGTTTGTGATATTTTTCTTCCCCTCAATATGTCTTCGTATGCAGGAATGGACAATTTCAGAGTAAATGTGAACCTCTCAATTTTTTACAGAAGAATTTTTCTATTTATTTATTCTCTTGTGAAATCAATCTGAGTTAAACATTTAAAAAAATCACATCGTATGGAATTAATCTCATCTGACATAAGGTACCTCATCTATCACTCACTCTGAAGTGCCCTCTTCCCCTTGTCTACAAAGGTATCTAAAGAACTAGCAAGAACTTTAGATGGATAAAGTTAGGTGAGATGAATCCTGTCCCTAGCACAGGCTGGTGTTGTAATTTGAAAGGGGTGTGTATATTGCATGGCAAGGCCCTTTTTTCTTTCCAGTGGTTTGAATTAATGATGTTCCCAAAGCTGTGGGATTTGTCTCCTTAATTTTTAGTGTGTGCTTGGCCGTTAAATCTGGCGCGCACACACGCACCCCACCCCCTTCAGTATTGATAGGCTCTGAAACTGCACTCATCGTTAAGGGGTAAACTTTCACTGACTGAATTTTGTTTCTAGAAGAACAATCATAAAAATAATAAGCAAAAATAATAAAACTTGTCAAAATCTTCATGAATCCACTACCCATACATACATGTTTTGCAACCTATCTGTTTTCTCTTAACCCAGTACTTCTATACAAAAAATTCCCTTTGTGAGGCTTCAGGAACAAAAAGGCAGCCATATGTTCCCTAAGCATAAATGATGCAAGTCTCATAATTCAAAATGAGTCTATAATTGTAGTTAGCAGGCTACAGAATTTGTATAATTTGGTTTCAGTCAGCTGGCATTTCCTACCTGCATGGAATGGTATTCATAAAACCATTGCAAACTTTTAGGAAAGCTAAGTGAACACAGCTTCCTCAGGTGCCTCTGAAGGAAGATCAACACTTTTGTTCTCAAAATTCCCAACTGGGAGTTGGGATGCAGTTTGGCATCATTAATCACTTACAAGTATTATTTTCTGGCAATTGGGATTTCTTTAAGTGCTTAAAAATACTAAAATATCAGGCAATAGATTTTCAAGGATGTTTATTGCAATTGAAGCATAAAATATATATAGGAGGTTTGTACACCAAATATGCTACCTGATTTGGCTTTGTTTTACATCTTTGGACTATATAGTGACATCCTCTACATTTTGAGTAAAACATATTTGCTACCTAGTGGGCAGTGGAAGTCAATTCTGTATTCTTGAAGTAATGTGCTGATGAGTCTTTGGCTAATTCAGTAATAACTACATAGAGACCCAAACCCTGGGATAACAACTCTTAGATGTCATACTGAAGAGTAAATATAGAATTAGAAACAGAAAATATTTTAAGAAAATAGTAAAATAAGCACGTTTCTCAGTATTGTGGAAAATCAGTCACGTTGGCATTCTAAAAGAATATTTCAATCCTTATGCCATTATTTCTCACAGGCACGGTCTGTATTTATAGTCCTTACTAATTCAAAATCACATGGATCCTAAATACCTTCATCTAAGGAAAAGAGGGCAAATTCCTTATGACAAAAAAGACTTTCAGGCCCCAGTAAAAAAGAAAAGGTTTAAAATGGAGAAGTCAGTCTCCTTTCTGCATCATATTGCGAACACTTGAATTACAAATTTTCAGTTTTACTTCTAAGTTCCTAAACTGTAAGTTTGAGAGAAGAGCAATTAATAGTAGAAAAATAACAATAGTGTGCCCAAACCAGTTTCTCAGAACAAATTCATTTAGCAGCTCTGTTAACCTCCAAAATGGATGCTGGTTATCCTTTGCAGGTAATATTACAATAAATACTTTAAACATTTTGCAAAGATAAATTAATGGTGATAAGAACCTACTCTCTACAGACCTGAAAGTGGAAAAGAGGAGACAGAAATACTTGAAGAGGCACTCTTGCATTCTTTATAATTTTGTGATTGTAAAGAACAGCAGATTACTAATATGAAAGTCCGTATTTTATGTGGAGCTATGTACATAGCTATGCATATACATATATATATGTATATGTGTGAAGTTTTATGAAGCAAGGCATTATCAGAAATTACTTAGAGTAAGAAACATGGTTACTGGAGGCCTAATTTTAAGTATGCTCTGAATCCATATAGCAATGGCTATTATTTCACATTTTTATGTGCCTGTATCTAATCTTTTTTATTCCTGGCAAAAAGTTCATCATTATTTTGCAGAAAGATAGGAGTCAGCTTCTGCCTTCCTAGCAGGTCACCCTGGGAATTTTAAATTAATATCTAGACATTAAACTTTACTTATAATAAAGTCTCAGGGAAAGGCATTTGTGTTTTTTTGTTGTTTTATTTTTAATAAGAAAAGATAACATATTTCAGTATTTGCATTATGTAAGATTATTCAAAACTTACCAAGAACTGTTCAAAGTGGAAAGACAAGGGTAAACAATCATCAGTTACACAGTTTACCAACTGTAATTTGGCATTCAGTTTGATAAAGTAGTTTTCCACAGCGCAGAGCATTTAATCAATATTCACTCCACATTGAGAGAAGTCTTATCTATATCTAGAATAGAATAGGAGTCCTATTCCTAAGTTTAAATTC